CACTGATCTTTTCACTTTTATTCTCTCTTCCTCAGTGTTTCTGTTTTACTTAACACACTCACTTATAATAACTACGAATCTCAATTTCCAAATTTTTATTTCTTTTTCAATTTAGAGTAATTTCGCTCTCTGTTTTCATCTCCTTCTTCCTGATCATATTCTGTACAGCACTCTATTTCACAAGCGAAGAGGTCATCAAGGATTTTTTTTATACATAGGACCATCATTTTCATACAGATCATGCCACATTCTTAGCACATGAAAGCAACTTCAGGTAGTTCTTGCTTTAAATAGCATTTGTCATTTCACTCTTTCTACATTTCTGTACACTGTAAGCTTATCCTAGTTATTCCATTGCCCAGTAAAACATCATCCTGTACTCTTAGTAGAAAACAAAACTATAACCTTATCTCTGATCTGCTTGGTCTTCACTCCATAAACCATGGGGTTAAATGCAGGTAGGATAACAATGTAGAGATTGGCAAACATGATGTGGAAGGTGCGAGAGACATTGTGTCCAAAACGATGGGCAAGGATGGAGAAAAAGGCAGGCATATAAAACATGAGGATGACACAGACATGAGAACCACAAGTGCCGAGGGCTTTCTGGTGGGCATCTTGGGAGGGAAGGCGAAAGACAGCACAGAGGATAAGGGCATAGGAAACAGCAATGAGAATCACATCTGAGATGACCATCACGATGGGAACACAAAAGCCATACCAGATGTTGATGGAGATATCAGCACAGGTGAGCCGGACAATGCCTATATGCTCACAGTATATGTGGGGTATGATACGTGTCCTGCAGAAAGGCAGGCGCGTCAGCAAGAATACGTCTGGCAGGATGATGCAGAACCTTCGAAAGGAGATGCGCATAGCAATCTTGATGATGGTCTTGGGAGTCAAGATGGTGGTATATCTCAAGGGAGAACAGAGAGCTACATAGTGATCAAATGCCATGGCCATCAGAATGGCTGAATCCAGAACAAAGCTGTAGTGAAGGAAGAACATTTGTGTAAGGCATCCTGGGAATGTGATTTCGCGAGCCCCCAGCCAAAGATACTGAGTGTTTTAGGCACACCAGCGGTGGACAAGGTGAGGTCAGTCATGGTAGCAAGGAGAGAAAGAAGAACATGGGTTCATGAAGACTATGCTCCACCACAATGAGGCAGAGAAGGATGCAGTTTCCCACAACAGCTACAATGTAGATGATACAGAAGGGAATTCCAATCCACATGTGGAATTGCTCCAGGCCTGGGATCCCTACCAGAATGAAGGGCCCTGGATTGTAACTGCTTAGGTTGAAAATGATCATGGCAGATGCAGATGGCATAAATCTCAGCTCCTAAAGACAGAGGGTGATTAAGGATAGTTAGAGAAACTTGAGTAACTCTCAGACTTTCAACTAATTATCATTATGGCCTCCTGAAGATAAAGTGACCATATAATTTGTCATCCAAAATAGAACCTGTTTGAAATCAACAAAGGTTAAAATTAGTAATAATGGTAGCAACATGCATAAACCAAGATTATTCCAGATACAAATAGATACATTATTGGTCTACCTGAAGAGAATCTTTTCTTTCTTCTGGCCTCCCCCAGTAGTGTACACAGCTACTCCAGGAAGCCTTCCAGACTGGTTACACTCTTCATTGTACACTGTTCTCCCATACAAGTTAACAAAGTACAGAATACACTTTTTCATGGTGGATTATAGCTTATATGACCTTATGGACATCATTATTTAGGATCTGCTTGCTCTGTCATTGCCCCCAAGGCAACTGTTTGCTTCTTTTAAAGCTACCTGATGACTGTGGCTCTTAGATTTGTAAGATCAACACCCCTTTATTGCCATCTAAAAACCTAATTCAGTTCAGCAAACACCAGATGAGTTCCTACACTATGCTGGATAACATGTGTAAGCCAAATTTAAATTAGAAAAGTCCCTTATAGCTGAGGCTCACTAGCCTTTCTCCTCAAAAAAAAAAAAAAAATCAGTAGTTTTCCAACACTTTGTATACTACACAAGTGTATTCTAATAGTGTGGACTTAGTGACACTATCAGTCAAGGTTTCTGTCCAAAAGTAGGACTGCGTTTTTGTGAACATACATCTATTAGAGAGACACATCGACCCAAGCAAGACACATACTCTCTCAAACACAGACCCTTAATATTTACATTCTCAGGCATATCCGGACCTACACTTATATTTTGTCATATATTTTGCCGCCATATATTTACCCATACATAATCTTACACAATTATAAGCCCCTTCTCCTCCCGTCTTCCCCCCACATATGTGCTGAGAATATAAACAAAACATTTCATAATTAGATTTTGTCATTATCACAGGCTTTGTAAATTCCTAAAACCTCTCCACTGGTCCTATACCTTCTTCCTTCCCTAGTAATGCCTCTACCCACCCCTCATCAAACATCCCATTTCATTTACATAGAAAGATATTTTTTATGTGTATAGATACTCCTTATGCTTATAGATACTCCTTTTGTGAGTAGAAAGACACTACATGTGTAAGTGCTACAGGTAATGAACCATATAGCAAGGCCAGGGGCTTCCAGAATCAGGACTAAAATGAGACTTGTGGTAGCCATATACGTCATATTCCTCACCTGAGAAGGCCAAGAATCATGTTTAAACTTATTCCTACCCCTGTATTTTATGTCCTTCTTGGGCCCAGCTCATAATGCTTTCCATTCCTCAGATCAGAACTTACTTTCTTGATTCTTCTTTAGGTAAAAAGGGACACATGATGCTTTCTCTTTATTTCTTACCCTTCCTTATCTATAGGTAAAAACACCTTTCTTACAACAACTCAAACTCTCCTCTACAGTGTCTTCACATTCTAGATTCTGAGAACATAGTCCAGACTTCAGAGGGTGGGTCACAGCTCAGCCCCCCATCTACTGAGAATTCAAGGTTTTCCTGCTTAGTCCACCTTCATCTTGATTCTCTTATCCACTGGGGCCATAGAATTCACCTGTTGCTAACACTAGAAACCTGACTAGGTTGTTCAGCCTTCATGTTGAAAAATCCTCTTCTATGCTGTTCACATACTCAAACATCATGTGAAAACTCCTCTTCTATGCTACTCACATACTCAAATAACATGTGGCATCAACATACTGAAACTATATGTTAATACTTTGAATCACAGCTCTCCCATCTTGTCTGAGGTCATCCTTTACTCATACATATGTGAGGAAAGGTTTTCTTGAGTTTTTGTATTTCCATGAACTCAAATACAACAGATGTTCATGAAGGCATCCAAAAGCATTCACAAACACACATGGGTGCACAGACAGTTAACTCTCAGGGTTCTCATTTAACGATCAGACAAATCCACAATGTGGAAAAATCTACAACAGTCTGTTTTCTTTTTTCAAGTCAATGCCATTAAAGGGGAAAGGGGAATATCAGATAAGGAAAATCCATTTCCAGATTAAAGTACATTTAAGAGAAAAACAAATAAATGCAGTGCGGTTATTTATTTATTTATTTATTTACTTGAGACAGAGTCTCACTCTGTCACCCAGGCTGGAGTGCTGTGGCATGATCTCAGCTCACTGCAACCTCTACCTCCCCAATTCAAGCAATTCTCCTGCCTCAGCTTCCCGAGTTGCTGGGATTACAGGCGCCTGCCACCACCCCCAGCTAATTTTTGCATTTTTAGTAGAGACGGGTTTTCACCATGTTGGCCAGGCTGATCTCGAACTCCTGACCTCAGATGATCCACCCACCTCAGCCTCCCAAAGTGCTGGGATTATAGGCGTGAGCCACCACGCTTGGCCTGCAGTGTAGTTCTTGATCGAATTCTGTTTAAACAAACCAGGTATTGAATTCAATTAATGAATAATTAGGGAAACTTAAATATGAACTAGATATAGAGTGATATAAAGGAATTAGTGTTAATTTTATCAGTAATAATTATTGTATTATGGTAGACACACACACATACACTCAGGCATGCACAGTATGTTAGCAAAATATTGGCACAGAGCATGTGCTCTGGAGCCTCAGAAAGCTAGCTTTCACAACTTAATCATGGTTCCACAATTTACTAGCTATGTGAATCTGGGCAAGCTATTTAAACTATATGATATTTGGGTTCCTATGTTTTTAAAAGAAATTAATATTTCTATTTTTTACAATTATTTTTAGGACAAAATGATACACACTAAAAAAAATTTTTTTTTTGAGACAGAGTCTTGCACAGTTGCCCAGGCTGGGGTGCAGTGGCACAATCTTGGCTCACTGCAACCTCCATCTCCACGGTTCAAGTGATTCTCCTGTCTCAGCCTCCCGAGTAGCTGGGATTATAGGCGCCCACCACTATGCCGGCTAATTTTTTTGTATTTTTAGTAGAGACAGGCTTTCACTATGTTGGCCAGGCTGGTCTCAAACTCCTGACCTCGTGAACTGCCCACCTCGTCCTCCCAAAATGCTGGGAATACAGGCATGAGCCACCACACCCGGCCGAAAAATATTCAATATAGTACCTGAAACATAGTAAGCATATAACAAGTTTTACTTCTTTATATTAGGTTATATTTATATCATTAGTATTATCATTAACAGTCAGACCACACAGTGGAGAAGAGAACAGAAATAGCAAGATGGATAAAAATTAACAAGAGCACCCCTGGGGATACACACATACCAGCACACTTAATTCTACATTTTAGATTAGAGTTACGGACTCTTGTCATATGTCTTGAAACAGAAATTTCCTAACACTGCTAACTGTGGTCATATTTAATCCAACTGTATAATTATCCATCTGTTCTGATCTTTTGATGCTTATTCAGTGGAGCATATACACAAATATTGGAGATCAGGACCTCAGTTTATAAACGGGAGTTGCTCAGGGAAGAAAATTATAGTGCCCAGCCTATGGCCCCTAAGAAATAGAGCCCTGGCTTTTCACTCACTTTCTCTAAGTCTTGCCCCAATCAAAGCCCTTCAAATAGCCAATACTCACCAAATCTTGGGGATCAGGCCAAAGGGAAAGAAGAAAGAATGTGTTGACAAAACCTGCAAGAGAGCAGACACACCAACCAAAAAAAATAAATAAAAATAAAAATAAATAAGTGGAAGGAAAAGGAAGGACGTTAGAGAGGTTGATTCCCTGTCCATTTATTTTCTCTGATCACTCACTGTTCTCTGTGGGGAAAAGGCAAGTAGTCAGGGGATTAGGGACTCTGACATGCCTTCTTCTCATCCTCAAGGGAAGAAAATGAAGAAGATTCTATTAACTTTGTTAATGTTTTTGAGTAAACACTGCTTTAGGGTACTTTATTTATTTATTTGTTTGTTTGTTTATTTGTGAGCTGATGTGTATGTGAGTGGAAAGCCGTGTGGATGTGCCTGTCATATCACCCAGATTTCAAGTTCATGCCCTCACTTACCAGATAAAGGACTTTGGACGAGTTACTTATTTCCATTAAAAGATGGTCATATTAGCACCTATCTCTCAAGATTTTATAAGGATTGACAAATTAAGTAGGGCACTGCTTGTGAAAATGCTTAACATATTGGCAAACTCATAGTGTAGAATAATAACCTAGGGCACCTGTTAAAATAAAAATTATATGGCCCACATGAAATAATCCTAACATTATCTTTTAAAAATTCCAGTGACTTTAGGGGTACAAGTATTTTTTGATTACATGACTGAATTGTATAATGGTGAAGTCTGGATTTCTAGCGTACCTGTCAACCGTATTGTGTAGTGTGTACTCAGTAGGTAATTCTTCATCCCTCACCCCTCTCCCAACCTCTCCTCTCCTGGGTCTCCAGTGTCCATTATACTACAATGTATGCCCTTGCATACCCATAACTTAGCTCCTACTTATAATGTTTAAAAAATTAAACTTCATTAAAAATTATAAAAACAATTTGAGCAAATAAAATATATTCTTATGGAAAAACTGTTAGGTCTACCTGCTGGTACTGTCAGGAATTTCTGGAAGTCCAGATATCAATTTTTACCTGAGACGCTTTTATCCCACAATTCTGAAAGCCAAGTCAGTTTCTGTCAATGTTTGTCAAAGGTTTGCTAAATATTGTTGGATGTGTTAATTAATAAAGATTGCCAGGAGTCCACTCAGTACTCTGAATGTTCTATTATATCTGTAATAAACCAGAACTAAAGAGATTAGCATTGTATTGGCTCCCGACAGAATTTTTACCTTCTGCTGAATAAAAATTGAGGTTACTTCACTTCTCTATACTAGGATAAGGGACTGAAAATGAACTTGTGTATTCTGTAAGAATGTCATTAATTGCCTCACTTACTGCCTATTCTAAGAGCTTTCTGAAGATATTTCTCTGTTCTTCATATCAAGAGTAGTTTTGCTTAACTGTCTGAACTTACAGCTATCATGAATGATTTAGCTAATCATGTTTAACTCTCACACAGACTGCTAGAAAGCTTAGAGCTGAATTTCTGACCCACATATAATAAGAGAACAAAAATTCATAGCAGGTGGAAAGTGTATTTTCAGCCTATTTTTTGTCTTAATTTTTAAAAATCTATCTATTTTTCTTTTTGCCTTTTCTATTTATACTTTGTAATATGCCACATAACAATGTTTCTGAACAATGGTCCCATAAGATTACAATACCTATTATAGAGTACCTTGTCTATGTTTAGACATGTTTAGATGCACAAATACCATTGTATTACACTTCCCTACAATATTCGGTATAGTAACATGATGTACAGTTTCGTAGCCTAGGAGTTATAGAATATATTATAGAGCCAAGGCTATATCACACAGATTGATGTAAGTACGCTCTATGAGATTTGCACAATAATAAAATCACCTAACAATACATTTATGAGACTGTAGCCTCATTGTTAAGTGGCACCTGACTATATTTTTATTTATGGTACGCAAAATACATCAAATAATTTTGGAAACAATGTATGTAGCTATTGTCACACGTTAAGAGATAGAATATAAATTCAAATACAATTCTCTGGGTCCAAAGGACATCCTTTTCTATTAAAACTATATGTTGAGAGCCATTGTAGACATAAAAATTCAATGATACGTGAAAAGGGTAGTAGCACAGGGATGGCAAAGTGGTCTTAAGGTAAAGACACCATGAACAACTCTGACATTTTGAGTCAAGTGAAAGCAGTGAGGGTTTGAACTACTGGGGTAGAGCCTGCACTCAGCTGGGGAACCCAAGAGGTTATTTAGAAAAAAACCACAGATTTTGAGGACATATCAGATTTGAAGGGGAAAGAAGACATTGACTATCATTACTACCTGGCAAACACCTAAAAATAATTATTACTGACCGAGTGACTGAATGACTCACTATGACCAAGTTATGCATATTGGATTTGAAGAGATAATGAATCATACAGAGGTCCATTTTTGGCTTGTGACTACACCTCTATGAAGATACAAACATGAAAAAAAAATTGAGACCACTAGTGCTTCCAATTGGTCAAGTCTCAAACCCACTTCTTAGTCTGTATATGCTTTACCATTTTACTAGCCATAGGAATTTGCCTCCCTCCTTTTATTCCTTGTGGAAAACTCCACCCACCTACATCTCATTTGGCTTTCTCAAGGTTGAGTTAAACATTGAGTTTTATCATTGCCTTATCCCTTTGCTTAATATAAACACCTGCACTCTTAAGTTAATAATTGTATTATGATTTGCCATTTATTTATTTGATAAGCATTGTATGTCCCTAGTGTATGCTACATATTATACTTGATATTGTCTAGAAATTAATAGGTGTGAACAAAGTAAAAACTCAGAACCCTGCAGAATCATCAAAGAGGTAATTTACTGCCTTGCTATGGTGTATAAATAAACTACTATGATATATACATCTGAAAAACCATTGAGATTTGCCAATCATTACATTGTCTTCATTAAAAGTTTTATAATCACTTTAGAGCAATCATAAGGAATTACAAAAGTTCTTGTTTCTAGAAGTCAAAAAATATTTATTATTTCCTAGACTCAGAACTTACTTTGCTATAACTGGAATGATTGAGTAGACTTCTGCCTCAAATCACAAAGAAAGCAAAACTCAAGTTCTCGTTAATAAATTTTAGTCTGTCCTTTTTCTTGGGCATCTGAACACAGGTTCAGTCTTTGACCCAACATAGACTAGGAACTTGTCCCTACCTCCAAGAGCTCAGGCACCTATCACTGGGACCCCTTGGGAAAGAGCAGAAGAAGGATTCTGTTCCAGATCTGCTTGGTCTTTACTCTGCAGACAATAAGGTTGAAAGCAAGTGGGATGATTACGTAAAGGTTGGCAAACATCATATGAAAGGTATGAGGGACATTAAGCCCAAAGCAATGAGCAAGGATGGAGAAGAATGCTGGTATATAGAATACGAGGATAACACAGACATGGGAACCACAGGTGCCAAGCGCCTTCTGCCGGGCATCTCGGGAGGGGAGACAAAAGACAGCATAGAGGATGAGGGTGTAGGAGACAGCAATGAGGATCACATCTGTCATCACTGTCATGATAGGAATACAAAATCCATGCCAGATATTGATGGAGATATCAACACAGGCAAGCTGGGCAACACCTATGTGCTCACACTATGTGTGAGAAATGATATGTGTCCTGCAGAAGGGTAAATGATTCACAAGGAAAACACACGGGACAAAAACACAGAGACTTTGGAAACATATTCTCACAGCAATTTGATAATGGTTTTGGGAGTCAGAATAGTAGTGTATCTCAAGGGTGAGCAGATGGCCATATAGCAGTCAAATGCCATGGCCGGCAGTATAGCTGAGTCCAACACAAAGCTATAGTGCAGAAAGAATAATTGGGTGAGACAGCCAGGAAAACTGATTGTTTGGGAACCAAACCAGAAGATGCTAAATGTTTTGGGGACACATACGGTGGACAATATGAGGTCAGTAATGGCCAGCATGGAAAGGAAAAAGAACATGGGTGCATGAAGACTGTACTCCACCACAATGAGGTAAAGAAGGATACTGCTGGCCACGACAGTCACGAGATAGATAAAGCAGAACGGGATGCTGGTCCAGACGTGGTACTGCTCAAGTCCGGGGATGCCCAAAAGGGTGAAGGGGCTTGTACCGTGGTCACTCACATTGTACATGGTCATTAAGATCAATAACTTCTGTGTCCTAAAAACAAATTGTTTATAATGAACATGAGTAAATTGTATGGTAATTCTTCCTCCACCACTTCCTCGGGGCTGGTCTGCCTCTTTCCTATATTCCAAGAAAAAACCTCTCATTGATATTAAGAGCAATGTTCATCACTTGAAGAAAGACTCTCAGACCCAAAACTTCTGATACTAATCATTCAATTACTCTAGAATCTTCTTCAAACTGCATAAACTGCTATTCCCATTTTAATGACTGAGTTCTCCCTGGGTCAATGGAAGTTGCTGCTCTATAGATATGAGTATAGAGAAAAGTAGTCTAACTACATGCAGGGATAGAAAGAAACTGAAAAATACTGGATCACAGTTGGGAAAATGAGATAATTAATAATTACAGACTCCCACTACGTGCCAGGTTCTTGAAAAATGTTATCTTATTTAGAACTACCTTCTGAGATATGTATTTTTATCCCCCTCTTTTTTTTTTTTTTTTTTTTTTTTGCAGAAGCTGAAACTGAAACGTAACCTTACCTAACAACTCACCTTTAGTAACTAGCAGAGCCAAGGTCATTAGATTCCACAGCCACTACTCTTTCATGTTGCTGTTACACCAGGTGACTGCCTCAACTCACTGTGAGATGCCAAGAATTCAGAAGAGGCATGGAAGTGTAGCAAAGGATGTAAGGAAACGGATCACTGGAACTGTAATTTGTCCCGCACACTGACCCCACCCCAATTTCAATGACTGTTCTGATATCCCAGACGCTACACAGAGAGACTTAAGGCGTGTAGACCAAAATGTTCCCTGAGATTGTGATGTTTGATGCCTTCCATATGAATGACATGAGAAAGGGTATGAGGCTCAATCTCAGTCCATCCTTAGGAATTAATGAGGGAATCTTG